AGTCTTGGGCACGGGGGCAATGGTTCTCCGATAGGAGCCAGTCTTGGGCACGGGGGCAATGGTTCTCCGATAGGAGCCAGTCTTGGGCACGGGGGCAATGGTTCTCCGATAGGAGCCAGTCTTGGGCACGGGGGCAATATTGCTGGGCAAATTCAATGGCAACCTCGTCGAGAGGTTTGCGACCTCTCCCAAGAAACATAGGGAAGCGGGGTGTTCTTTCCAGAAGATTCCTATGGAGCCCGGCACTGGAGGGAACAGAAGGGAACGCCCGGTTTTTGCTTTTTGGGGGGCGAACCGTGTTTTGGGCTAACTGCGAAGTGGTTGCTTTTCAAGGGACTAGGAAAAACAGAGCATGACCAAGATCTGGGCCTTTTACCCTTTTTTGGGGGAGGGCTCTCCTGCTCAAATAGACTACAAACAAAAAGGCTCCCCTTATTCTAACCTCTCTACTGGAGGACCTAGGATGTCTTATTGAGCCTTTGGCTCCTATGACAAGCCGCTGGACCAGTATGCTTTCGAGCCAGGCTCGTCGAGGGCATACTCTCGGCAGAGCGAGTGTCGCAGTTCTACAGCAACTTCTACCCGCTGCTGCAGCCAGATGAGGAGGGGCGATTCCGATGATCCGGTCCGGTTTTTTTTGCTTGTTCGGATAGTTTGAAGGGGAAGCCAACAGGAAGCCAATCAGGTTTTTCGTCCTATGCATTCCTATGCTATTGCAACATATCTTGAGGCAAACACAAATAAGAGGCATGCCTGGATCGCCAAGTTGCTGTGCTTCTCAGTCGCTGTTGCTGTTTTTTGGGGTAAAGTGGATGGAAAAGAGGGATCGCAACTGGCGATCCCGGTGGCAAGAGAGCGCGTTCGCATCAATCCATGAACTGGGATCAGCCCATGCCGGGCGCCCGGACCAGTTTGCGGAAGGCATGTCCCGCGCACAGGACTCTGCGCGGGCGATGCTGAACATTAGGACGGGCTTCTGGGTAGGATGGGGGGGGGGTGAGAGGGGGTCAGGGGGGTTGGGGGCCTGGCGGGGACCATTCAAGGAACTCGCAAAGAGTTGATTGGCGGTTTTGATTGGCCCGCGTGAACCCTGCCTCATGGAAAATGTGCCCGAAGGCATGGGTTCAAAGAAGCTTGGCCTCTTTTAAGGGGAAAACGAACAACGGAAGACCAGTGAAGCAGTTGACACATGCAACAAGGAGTGCCCTTCGAAAAGGGTCTGTGGGTCCGTCTCCTTTCTGCGAAGCAGGCAGAATGAATAATGTCACCATTGAACGTGGCTGCGGGGGGGGGGGGAGTGGGGGTAAGCAGAACACGCGTCGTTTCTCGGCAGGTCCCCCAGAAAGCCCGTGAAGCTGTGAAATGCTTCTGATATCAAGGGTTTCTGTTTGGTTGCATTGCGCCATGGTGCATACCCTGCTTAGGGTTCCACAACAGGAACCTCTTCAACCAGCAGATCGAGTACATCATGCGGAAGAGCGGTCTGCGCGGCGGCCTAAAGGACGGGGTTTTTCCCGGGGCCCGAATCGATTCGGGACGGCAGGAGTGGATGGGTTTTCTACCAAAGGTTTCCCTTGAGGGCCAAAGGGGTTGAACAGCACGTGTATGCGCCTGAGCCAAAAGGTGCTTCACCCTGCCAGGGTGAATGCGAGCAACCCCCCTCTGTTGATGTTTACTTCGGATTGATGTGGCAAACAAGTCCCAAAAATGATCTCCTGCCCACTAAAACGGGGTTGGCGGGGGGGAGGATCTCCTTATAAGTACTGCGAAGTTGACATGATGCTCCATAGGACGGCCGCCCGCCGGAAACTTGGGCCCACTTGTTCCCAAGCAATCATTCCCAGAGGTGGCCAGACACCCAGGCTTCTGATCGGTGAACTGGGAATTGCAAAGTCGTCTGGTTTGTAGAAAGCAAGACCAGATGGTCCGATTTGGTCCGGAAGCGCTTCTGTCCGATTTGTCTCGCCATGGAAGTGTTACCTTTGCAGATTCCCCTTCTCAAGTCGCAGATGCCCGGATCTTCGCACAGTCTTCAGGTGGCTTTGGAGGGGGCAAAGCAACATTCCCCTCCAAACCCAAGCAAAAGCTAGCGCCTTCAGCGGGTCACCGCCTTAGCCGCAAAAGGACGATCCACTTGTCTGGAAATATGGGCTACTCCCCTGCAGATTGACCTGGAACTAACTTGGAAAGATCCCTTTTTGCCAGGTCGCCACTTTTGGGGAGTACGATTCCGGTGGTACCCCCAGTGATTAATTGGTTGCTCTTCGGTCTGACCAACCTTTGACCGTTCGCAACTCCCAAAATCTCATTTCGCTTCAGTTGCCCTTCCAAACATGGGAATCGTTTCCATTTTTGGACTACCAGTTGGTTTCGAGCCTTCCTTAGTCAAATCTGGCATTGGTTTGAGGTTCATTAAATATGGGCCAGAATCAAACATATGATCTGCGCATCTTCCAACAGGTTCACACGTAGACTTTTCTTGATCTGCCGTCAGTTTTCTCACGTTTAGTTAAAACTATGTTTTTTTCCGTTCTTTTCCTCCAACAACACACGTGGGTGTCTCTTGGGGTCCCCCAAACAGGTGGTCCCTTCGACCTTCCATCCCAAAAAAATGGGCACCCGCCAAAAAAGACAAACGGGGACCAGCCGCCTCATACTTCTCACCCTTTCAGCATACATCGGACTCATCCATCGGAAACGGAGCCGCAGGCCGAGCCCGCGGACCCCTACTGGAAGCAGGTGCGCTACCTCTTCCTGCAGATGTGGGGCCTGAAGGACCCGGGCCTGAGACCTCCCCCCCCTTCCCACCCGGGCCCCCTGCCGCCCCCCGTCGGTGTTTTGGACAGGAGTTTTGCATGGCTTCTAGTTGCAGGCCTTGAGGAGCCCACGCCGATTTTTGGGTGTGGAGTTCTGAGACGCTGAGTTTTTGATTTGACCCCAGGTTTGACGTGGTTTTTGGTTGCAAGAGGCCAGGCAAGACACCCAAAATGCCGATCCCTCTTGGGTCGATCCGGATGTTTGTTGGGACTGGGGAAATTCGAATCCTTGTTGGAAGTAGTTCCCTTGGTTACCTTCTATACCGAAGTAAATGGGCCTAGGCATAGAAAGGATTGCTGAGGGAAGGTATGGCCATGCCGCAGATTCGGAGTTGCCGTGGCAAAGCCAGCATAGATTTCCAGCCGTCCCCTTCTTTCGACTTGTTGCAGGAGGAGTCCCAAAAAGCGCAGCCACGCCAAACAAAAAGCAGTACTCCATGTGTGGAGTCTAGTGGCAGCATTTATTTTATTTTTTTTGCGGAGACGTGGAGGGGGGGGGGGTAGTTGGGCCAATTTTTGTGCGTGGCCCCGCAACACAGAATGGTGCGATTGTTGGCAAACACGAGGAGCTGGCTCTAAGGATTGTTGTTTGGAATTCTGCTTCTGACTGGAGGTCAGGAGAAGACAAGTTTATTCGAAATGGTGCCTCCGACTGGGTTGCATGTCAGTGCCGGGGGGGGGGGGGTTACCGCTTGTTCTTTGTGGTTGGTTCACTTGCGAATGCGAATCTTAGACGACTCTCTGGTGGATAGGTTAAGTATTGCATGGCTCTCTTTTTGCATTTAGGATTAAGGGGCCAAAAAGAAGACGAACAGAGAAGCCGATCATTGATACGGTGGATGGAGCCAATCAAATTCCACTTCTGGTGCCTGGTGCGGGTGTCCATCCAAAGGAATCAATCCCGGCTTTGGACAGCCCCGAGCCCGCAAATCACGGGCGAACCGCGGCAGAAAACGGGAAACAGCTAGATTCAGGCTGGCGAGTAGTCATAGGGTAGCCGTTTGGTTGATAAACCTGGTTGATTAACATGAGGGTGTCCCATGCAAGTGGGGATCCTTCACGTTTGGGGGGAAGCGTAACATGAACGTGCAGATTCACTTGTAGGAGGCAAATCCTCATGGGAGAGGGGGCACCCATTTGCTTGAGAGGACCTCTTCACCCAAACAGGTGCTTCGGTTATGATTTGTAACTGGTTTTTGCCTGCAAGTCTCTTTCAGTCGGAATCCACTCACTCTTGCGGAACCTGGCTGCTGCAAGACCATCTCCCTCGTATTTCTGGCATGGTGGACGTAAGCGGACCGCAGGATGCGTATAACCTGGTGGCAGAGGAGAAGGCGGGATGGATGAGCCAGCTGTTCCCACAGCATTTGGAGGCACAGGGATCGTTTCCTAGGTCCCCCAGTCGTGCCCCTTGACCAAGTTTTTTTGGGGAGGGTTCCGCTACTAAAATAGACTACAGAAAAAAGGGTACCTTATTCTAACCTCTCTACTGGAGGACCTTGTTTCCACTTGCCAGGGTTCCGTTGTGGGTACCGTTTTTTTGAGCCACAGCCATTTGTCAAGCTCACAAGAAGCAAGAAGTTAGAAGGAGACCGAAGGGAAAGGACGTTTTTGCCTTTCGCGCTGCTAGAGTTCGCGGGAATTCCACTTGGTTTCGTTTGCAACGCCCTGCAAGCTGCCGCGATCTACCGTGTCAATCATGGAAGTGGAGGTCCTTGGGCTTCACCGTCCACCTTCCATGGTTGGGGCAATCGGTTTCCACCAGCAAGGGACCCATCGATTGGCGGTCGGTTGGATATCGTTTGCCATGGGCTGAAGGACCCGAGTCTTTCCTATCTCAAATTGGAGTCACGGGGGCACGTCTTCGTTTTAAGGATCATGGGGGCTGGGGGGAAGAAGGAGGGAGGGAGCAAGGCCTCATTGGGGGCTGAATAACGGCTTATTTGGGCTCCCTCCCCCCTCCCTCCCCCCCCAGCCCTTATGAAAGGATCTAAATGACCAAACATATTGCGCCGCGCGTAAGTGATGTTGCCAGTTCGTCATGTGCGCTTGTCTTTTCCCCGATCCACAAACCCCTGGTTGATGAATTGGTGGGGGATTGTTCAAGTCCACGTAGAGCCTCTTAGATCATCAAACTCCGAGGGGACAGCAAGGTTAACGTGTTTTTTTTGTCCGGCCATGTTCTTTTCCCAGTCGAATGGAGGCCTTGGAAAACTTGGCAACTTGCTCCAGGTATCCTACGCATCCCTTTTCAGCCCTTTGCTTTGGTTTTCGCGCCCTGTTCGACGAGGTGTCTCTCTCTCGCTCTCTCTCTCTCTCTCTCTCTCTCTCTCTCTCTCTCTCTCTCTCTCTCTCTCTCTCTCTCTCTCTTTCTCTCTCTCTCTTTGTCCAACTCCTGGAGGTTTGTGCCGTAAAACGTGGTTTCCCGCTTGGGCGAAAGTCCCGTAGGCCGTGCGGAGCATCGACATGGTGGACATGTTCTTCATCAACTCCCACGCGGAGCTCGGAGAGCTCATCCAGGCGGAGTTGAGAGTTGACGTTGTTCACAGTGGTTGGGGTCATTTTTTTATTTGCGGTGAGGGGGGGGGTTCGGTTGTAGAAGTGGTTTTTGGAGAGGGGGAGGGTTGGGGCCAGTGGTTTCTGGAGGCTATTTTTGGAAGTGGTTGTTTGGAGGGGAGTATAGAGTTGTATATAAAGTTTGTTGGCTTGGGCGTTGGAGACTCAACACCTTGGCAGATTCAAGTGAGAGCTCCGATGCCGATCAGCGTTTTGCCGGTGAAAACACTCCAGCAAATCTTTCCCGGAAGTCTTGCCCCTCCCACGGGTTGTTGGCAAAAGCAAAAGGAGTGGACGGGCAACCATTAAAACGCGGCCATTTGCTGAAGTGAATTTATTGTTTTGGGTATTTTCTCCTGTTGGTGTTTGCAGGGAATCAATTTCACTCTTGGACATATATTTTTTCGTGTTTTCCAGGGGGCCAGAAACTCAAATGGAAGACTTGTATCATGGATTGGGCTTTTCGCCATGCATCCGGGCCACTCACCTGCTTTGAGAGTGGCAACTTGTGCGGCCGCATTGCTGTTACCCCGCGACGGTCAAGGAATTTCTTGTTGGGAACTGTGCGGGCTTGGGGGGTGTAACAAGATATTGGCATGCCCGACGCATGATGTTGTTCGCAGGCATACGGAACATGAGAGCCTTGTAGCCATCAGCACGGAGCCCTCTTCTCCGTGTCCACGGGAGGCGTGTTTCTAGTGAGGCTTGGTGCAACTTTGCTTCATAGTGGTGCAGGTTCTTCGCCAAGCATGTTTTATGAGTTGGGTTTAGACTGAGTCTGGAACAGGGTTAGAAACAACATACATGCTTGTGACCCCCAGATGCCAACAAAGCAATTGTTCAAGGTTGTGATGATGAGCTTGCTAGCTCGAAGACAACAGTATGTAGAAGTACTGCAGAAGAACATACAAACATAAAGCAATCGCACGCGCACATGCACATAGACATAGACATTCAGTGCAGACAAACATGGACACAGACACGGACACGGGCGTGCAAAGATAAACCCCCAACTAGTTTTTTTCCCACAGACTCACAGACTGTATTTCGATTGGGTGCCGATCCTCAACCATTTCGAACCGATCCTCAACCCACGCCAAGCGCAAGCCCAGCGACTCATCTCGACTCAAACCTCAGGCTTACAGCCCTGAGGCTGTCGCCGCACGTGTGGGCCTTAGAGCTCTTGCCATCTGCCGGCGTTTTATTTTTTTAAATTTGTTTTCTTCTTCTTTTTTATACTTTACACAAATACATGTATATTTTTTTCTGTATGGCAAAATCCGCGGCCGGCGTGTGGTTTGGTGATGGATGCAAACAATTGAAAGGGACCACCCGAACATAGAGTTCTGCCGGGGCAGTTAGTTTTTTTCTGCAGACTGCAATTATGTTACTGATCGGACACACAAGGGTTTCCGAGCCATGTCCCTTTCAAGGGAAATCAAATTTGGGGTTTCTGAATTCGCAAATTGATCAACGTTCGATTTGGGGGAAATCCGGGTTCAGGGGAGGGGGGCCGCGTAAGGTGTAGGTCGCAAGGCCCGGGTTGTTTCCCAAGCTTTGCCTAAGGAAAAGGACCCCCCCCCTCCAAAAGAAAAGGGTGGGGGGCCACCAGGCTTGCTTTTGGGCGTAAGGCGCTTTTCGTTTGGGGCCCGGGAAAGGGGGGGTTTAGCCAATTTGGACATGACGGCTTGACCAATTTTGGAGTTTCTCTTGAGGTTGAGGCAAACAAAAAGGCAGCCGTAAAATATAGCATCCATGGAACAAAGCTTCCCTCAACCCTTGAGGGTTCTTGAGGCAGGCTGGCTCCCTGAGAAGTTCCGAGTTGCTTTTTCTCCGCTTCTTCTGTCATTAAATTCGTAGACGTGGCTTCTTATGTGAGCGGTGACCTTCGGATGAGTCGTTTTTCCCCCGTTTTCCGGGTATCGAACTTCCCGAAAGGAGGTAGGGGGCTGATGTGTTTTTTTGGGGGGGTACCCCTTTTGGGTTGCTTTAAAGGGAACCAAGAGGAACACCATTTTGGGCGGTCCCTCAAGACACACACATTTGTTGGTTTGACCTGTGTTGTGCATCCTTGTGTTCTTATAGTCTGTTTGGGGTCTACGCTAAAACATACATACATATATATATATATATACACACATACTTTTTTCCTCTTGAAGTGCATTAGTATTTCAATATCCTAACTTAAATTTATCTAAACTATCACCTTTCATTTGTTTTTCTGGAGCCCCTGTGTCACCCCCGACTTCTCCGGTCCAACGGCCGTGGGAACCGAGCGGCTCGCCAACTCTCAGGAACCAACGTCCAGGCATGGGTGGGCCGTCGCTCGCGGGTCGCGGGTCGCGGGCCGTGGATGCACAGCGGACAATGGGATTTTCGGGTACAAAGTCAAGCAGATTCTGAGGTGGCTTGAAGATTTTGATGGGGATCTTGGGGCTGTTTTTGCTTGCAAAAAAGGGCTCGAGTTTCCAAACTCCAAACTTTCTCATCTGAAAGTGGAGTGGCTGTGGCTCAAAAATTGGAATATCAGATGGCAGCTTGGTAAAATGAAAGCAAAGACTATGCGGTTTGCCCCAGCTGTTTCATTTCGAGCCATACCCCAGCTGATTTGCGGGTACAACAAATCAGGCCAATGTGGTAACAACCATGGCTTTGCTTTGTGCCCGGACGACACCAGACCCCACGCCCTGCAACGCTCAGTCCATGGACTGGGGCATTGCAAAGAAGCACATTGAGCCACGTGCTCAAAGCCGATTCGGGTAGATGAAGGCTGGGGACAATCCCCTTAAAACTCGCTGCGGAGATCCGCCTTCCTAATTGTTGAAGCACGGTTCTGGGTCGACCATTTTACCGGGCTTTGAGTGTGACTCACATGTGGATCTGGCTATGAATTTTAATGGGGAGCCGCCTCAAAAGTGGTCGGTGGACATGAATCCTCATCTAAATGATGTCCACCAAAGGGTCCACCAAAGGGTCCCCCAATAAAATTCACGCCTGTATGGGTCAAAAAAGCCGCCAAGGACTGCAGGTTTTAGTTGTTTGGTTCTATTTACCTGGGCAACCCATTTTGGTGTTACCCTAGTTTTGACCACCACAGCCTTTTTTGACATCCCGGAGGACGAATCTTCAGAACTCGTTGAGGCGGGCTATGTATTTCCCTTACGGTTTACCAGCGGCACACACCGTCGCAGAAAAGAATTCTGAGGCTTCGAAGGGGCCTTGTCCTTTTTGGCATTGGCTGACAGCCTGAAAACAAGCCATGCAGGGTCTCTCATGTGTTAAGAACCACGCATAGCACGTGTATATATATATATATATATTGTCTCTCTCTCTCTCTCTCTCTATGTATATATATATACATATATCGACATATATATATATATACATATCTATAGATGTACGAATGTGCATATACCTGTATATACAGGAACATGCTGAGAGCCTTCAGGTGGGTGTGAAAGGGCGAAGGATTTTTTTCGCCACCTTGCCTCAGGCGACCAAAGCGAAGCGAGCGAAGCGAGGCCGGAGCGCGTTCGGGGTTTGGGTTGGTCGGGGTCCCAAGCGAAGATTTCAGGGCTTCTTGAAATTGCTTTGGGTGGTTTCCCTTTAACTTACTATTTGGGGTGGTCTAAAAATAGACTGCCTTGCTGGCTGCGTTTCTCTTTTTTTTTGTTTAATTTCCCTTTAAACCAACCCAAAGGGGTTTCCCTTAAAACACACAGCCATCTAAGGGGTAGTGTTGATGCCACTTTTGCTGGGCCCCTATGGAGGTAAGATTGGGAATCAGGTGTGATTGATGCAAATGGTTCGCTCAGAAGAAGATCCGTTCAAGCCATCCCTTGTTCTTGTGTGTTTTTCCCCAAACAGTGTGTCTACACTATTTGGCTTCTTGTATGTTTAAGATATTCACTTTTCTATTGTCAACCTCCACCTTTTGCCGGCCTCTCGCCTGTGCAATCTTTGTTTCAGCAAGAAAGGCGAGCTCCATCCGAATTTCCCAGGGGGGACCATGGTGAAGATAGAGCTTATGGGCTTCCCAGGCGTATCCCGATCGACTTTTGGAAGTGGCCGCCCTGGTACGCGTGATCTATCCATTGAAAATCATTGAGATGTTGTCATTCGAGAATGATCCACGTTGGGAGTGCTTCTTTCAATGCCCAAAGCAAACCGACCGTTCAACATGTTGTTGTACCCTTTGTTGAGTTTCCACTTTTAGCCATTCCGTTCCATGCCGTCCCTGTCGCAGGCGGTTCTTTTCTGCAGCTGAACGATGTGGAGCACGAGGCATGTCCGCTTCATTGCATTTCCTTCGGGTTTGGCAGAGGGTTCCCTATGTTCCCATTTGGGTTCTGGAAATCACATCTTTGCGTCAAGATGGGTTTCCTTTTGCGTGGTGTGATGATAAACGGGAATATAGTTGGAGCCCTGTGAATCATCGTGTCTCCATTTCCAAGGTCAGGTTGGTTGGAATCGGCTTGCTGGTATGACTAGCATGGCCGCACCCCAAGAGAGCGATGCGATGATAGAGAGATTGAAGAGACCTCTTTTGGCCACTTCCAGGTTAGCTTCACGAATTGCGGAGAATGGGTCCTTTCCCAAGGTCGTCTCAAACCTGGTCAGCTTTCATCGGGTGCAAGAATCAAAAGAAGGGATCCGAGGGGCCAAAAAGGCCGCAAGAGGCAAATCACCCGGGAGGAGGGAGGGGGGTTTGGGGTGTTGGGGGTTGGGGGTGTTGGGTGGGTGGGTCTTGGGTTTGGGGGACCCGTTTGATCAGTGACAGATCTGCCCGGCGAT